GGACACGACTAGAAATCAGTGGTTAAGTTGTATTTACAACACTGTTCCAGAACACTTCGACCCAAATATTTAGATGTATGCAGCACATTTTATGGAGGACCGTTGCTGGCCAATCACAGCACACCTTGCTTTTTCAGACCGATGAGCTTTGTAAAAATCGACGCGTTTCAAAAAGGCGGGGCATAGAGGAGAAACAATAATGTACAGTATGTGGAAAATAGTGTGTTTTTTTAACTTTAAACCGCATAAACACATTTCATTACACCAAATACACAAAATAATGTTCTTTTTAGCAGCATCATATGAGCCCTTTAAAGCTTTAACTCAATCCCCTACATTTAGATGGTTTCCTTGGCAGATTTTTCCAGTCCACATTATTCACCACGAGTGCAGATGACTAATAATAATACATAGTGGAAAATTATGCTTTCCAAACCAAAGCCATCCAAATGATGACAGCAGATTCATAAAGGAAAAACAATTTTCTATGATTCGTATGCATAAATATGCAAAATACTACTAGTTTCATTTGGCAAAAGCTTATAATATGCATATTTCTGAGTCAGTTACCTACTGGATGAAATCATTTTTGCAAAACACAATGCTAGGTGTTCTTGGTGACCAGGGCACTGCAATTAGTGGTAAACTGGCCCAAATCAAAAGAGCCACCCCAAGTGGTCTCCAAATATGGTTCACGTCCCAATGCAAGTCTGTTTTTAGCTCACTTTAAATTGCAAAACTGATTCTTTGCCTTAGCAAAAGTACTAAATGTCTGGGAAAAAAAGCCACACTTATACTACCATGCTATTGCTACGCGAGACCCTGCCGGTGGGAGATGACACAGATGATGTGCGGCAAACTGCAGCAAAGGTAGGAGGGTGTAGCACTGGGTTGACTTCACCATCAGATGGATTGCCGTTTGCTGGATCGACGTCTTGCTCTTGCATCAGTTTTGGTCCAGGCAGTCCAAGGGCACTGCAAAGCTCCATTACTTGCCTTGCAAGCGTCTCCTGCTGGATCCTTAAACTCGCGTTCTCCTGCTGTAAGGCGGCGATGGCCTCAACAACAGGCGTGACCTGGGCTGTCGCTTCCTCCAGACGTGCCTGTATAGTTTTGCCGAAAACCTTCAAATCGCAATGTACCTCTTGCACGGCTCGCTGAAGACTGAGTTCCAGCTCATAAAAACGTTCATCAGTTGCTTTTTCGTCTTCATCGTCGGCAACCGTCTGTAACAGGAGGTCTCCGATCACGGCCTCTAGGCCCGACTCGGCACAATCTTGATCCAGATTGTCCTGAAGACTGACTTGGTCGCCTAGATCTGGCGTGGGGTCCAATCTGACGCCAGGCATGGTATGTTTGTCTGCTTCTCTAGGTGCCAAATAATCTTTAAAAGCTCCAAAAATAAAAGTTTACGAGAACAATCAGAGCAAATCGCCTTGTAATAGTTACAGACGACACAAAATACACCTAGCTTTGACTCCCAGTTGAGACAAATCCTGGCCCTTTATTCGTCTCTCCAAACCCCCATCAGCTGTCCAACGCGTCAGCCAATGGAGAGCCTTGGAATTCTGTCGCCATGGCAGCTGGAGGCCCCAGAGCCCCCGCTAACTCAGGTGCCACAGTCATCTATTTATCAACAGTGGCCATTATTCCAGTGGGCAATCGCCCATAAGCCCCCTGCTCTCTTTTTTTAGAGCTCTTGTCCTTCACACCTTTCACTAGCAGAGAACAAAGTCTGCAGAGCAGTGGTGAACAATGTGACCATATGCACACAGTGCAAATCCAAGGCACAATTGGGTAATTAGCTTTTTTTAAGGATGTCTGAACGATCTTAAACCCTATAGATGTAGAGTAGGGTTGCACCAGCCGTTTGCAAGTTCTTACTTAAATTGGAACCCAGACGTTTAGCAACTACTAGCAAGTTTGTTACTGTACCGTATTTGGTTGCACCATTAGTTCTTCAGGCAGAATACAGCTAGTAGGTCATAAACGCTCTGTAAAGTAACAAGTAGTCATGTAATATGACATTTAACTTCAATAATTCAGGAAGAATAAATAAATACTGGGTCACAGTTTATTGTAAGGACCAATTCTCACTATTAACTAACTATTAACTACGACTTTTGCCTCATTAAACTCCTAATTTGCTGCTTATTAATAGTCAATAAGGTAGTTGTTAAGTTTAGGTATGGGTTGGATTAAGAGATCTAAAATATGGTCATGCAGAATAAGACATTAATATGTGCTTTAGAAGTACTAATATACAGACAATATTGCTAGTAATATGCATGCTAATAAGCAACTAGTTAATAGTGAGAAATGACCCTAAACTAGTGTTGTTAAATACTGATACAAAAAAAAAAAAACTTCCGAAATGGAATTTATTTATTATTATCATTATCAGATATGTCTGAAGGATTGTTAGTCTGTCAGGTAAAGCAAACTTATTAAAGCTTATTGATGCGATTCAGTCAACCTGCTGTTTTATTCCAAACGTTACTCCTGCTCAGAGGGTTCCGTAAATATTTAGTTTATATGTAGTTACATTTCAACTAAGTTTAACGGTGTAACGCAAAAATATTTAGTAGTGCATAAGTAACTTAGTTCCCCTTTACGACAAATCTAGGCTAAGCTGTAACTTTGGACTTTAAACTCATATGATGAAGGTTTACCTATAGTTATGCTTGTTGTGTTTGTAGCCACTTTAATCAAAAGTGACTTGAGTGTATAACAAATTCAAACTACACTTTTATCAGTACATGTGTTCCCTAGGAATCGAACCCATGACCTTGGTATTACTAGTGCTGTTCTTTACCAGTTGAGCTAAGTACTGACAGTTTTTTTTTTTTCAAGACTTACATTCAAGACTAATGGATTATTGAAAAATAAAAGCACAGGGACTCGGTGCTATCCAACAGTTGTTGATTGGATGGAGGCAGATCTGAATGTGATTTTGCAGAGAATTGTATGAAAGCGACAGGATTTAAGTGAACTGAATGATTGGAGAAATCGGGCATATGACCCCAGAGAGAAGTCTTCCGTTTCACTGGAAGATCAAGTTGCAGTTTGAATAAAAATTACAAGATCAAAACAACAGTACAAAACTGGGTCGGTACCCTTTCAAAAGAACACTTTAGGGGGAAATAAGGTACAAAGATGTACTTTTTAGCTTTCGTACCTTAGGGTACCGCCCCAGTTATGGCCCTTTATCTTTTTCTGAGAGTGTACATGGATGAATCGTTCACTAGTCTACAAGATCTATAACTAGATGAGTGCAAATAGATGAGTGCCTGTGCAAAAATATTCCACCATATTACAGAAAAACCCTCTTCAAGCAATTAATTGAAAGCGCTACTGTCCTGCTGCACATTTCAGATTTTTGGCCTTGATTTAACGTAGCGCAGCAGGTGTATCTCTAAAGAGCGCTTTAGCTGTCATCAGGAAACTCTGAGTGGCCAAAACCACCTCTGAACCTCTTGACCCAGGTGACGGATCATTCAATAGCATGACTGCGCCAGCTTATATTTGAGGCTCGGACAGCTATTCAGTCCGGTCTCATTCGAGCAACAATGCCTGACCCTCAGACTTACTGATAGCCATGCAACTAAAAATATCTTGCATAGTTTAAAACAGAGCATCTAAATATAACACCGCAAGCTGAAAAAGAGTGGCCAGAAAACAAACCCTGTGAAGAATGTTGGTAAGTACAGCCGGAAGGACCAAAAAACAGTACTTTGCTGGAAAAAGTTTCAAAATGTCTGTTTGGCTTGGAACATCATCTTACAGGCACCCATGTATGAAATCAAAAAGTTACTTCTAGGAAAGGGCAGTGAAAAGTACAGGTTGGCACTGTGTGGTGATGTCCAGAAATAGTCAGTGACTGTGGTTGGAAGCTTACTGAATAGCACAGATTACTCTGGACACAAACAGAAAGCATTTAAATATGTTGACTAGCACTGAACATGGCATCAGTGAAGTTATTCCATTCTACAAATACTAGGGTGATACAAATACTAAATATAGGTTAAAGGTGCTGTATATGTATGTATTTTTGTTTTGACTGTACTAAAGCATAAAAATACCATAACATAATACATTTGCAGATATTGAGTAAACATGCTAAGTTCACATACTTGTTTCTCCGAAAATAAATGCTACAGCCAGTTATTCGATTTTTAAATGTGTGTTCCGTGTCGGAATGTCTGTTTTTGTTTTGGTCTGTGTGACTCCGCCCTCTGCCAGTTTACCCAATAATATTTCAATAGGACTGGGTTTTGACACAAATTTCATGATTCGATTCGATTCTCATTCACAAGCTTGTGATTCGATTACCAATTCGATTCAATATCGATTATTTTGGATATACATCAGGTACAGTACATGCCAAATTTTCTCAAGGAAATAAAATCTCTCAACTAATGCTGTAAAATATACATGAGAGTCAGTTGGTACTACATTACAATAATATTGAAGGTTAAAATTGACTGATTTGAAGGCTATACAACTGCTTAAATTACACTTAATGAAGTTTTTATAATAATAATAAAGTTACAATTGCATAATAATATTTCTACTTAATTTAATTTTTTATATATATATATAAACATTTAAATGGTGGCTGTCATAAAAACTTTACAGATTTATTTAAACAAATTAAACATGGAAGAACAGTAAAACAGTTGGTGCATATATTTAGCAAAATGCCCCTCTCTATAGTTTATTTTTCTAGCTGACTAATGAGTTTATGGTCACAGAATATGTTTGTTTCTGAGGTAAGTGTGACGTACGTGACATTGTTTACAAGCCGTTATATTGACGTCTTTGTGTGGCTGAAACACTGATTGAGCGATTACATGAGACAGGATACGGATTGTAAAGTTGTACTCTTTCTTTGAACTTACCTTCGGATGTGTAGTCATGTTAATTTTGTGCTGAAGCTGGTATTAAAGCGGAGGAGATCTGATCAGTTGACGTGCGCCTCGCGCTGCCGCGTCTGTTGAACTGAGGCACTATTAAACAGTGCCAAAACGGCATTTATTGTTTGAATACTGCAATACAATGGACAGAATTTGAAATCTGAGACTTTGTTTCATATCAAAAGTAACAAAACACAAAGCTTATTGCAATTTATTGGATGGGAGGCTTCAATGTTCCGTCCATTAACTGAAAACAGGCTAGACTAATCGATTCGTGGGATTTAAGAATCTATATCGTTTCGTAAAAATGAGAATCGATTAAAATCGAGATATCGATATTTTTTACCCAGCCCTATATTTCCACACCCTGGGTTGCCAGTTGGGGGAAAACACAGCATATTGCAACCATCTAAGCCAGCAAACGAACTGCGTTAGTGATCGCAAATTCTACCCGACCTAAAAAGCCTCAGTGTACTGTACATCTAAAAAGCTCTATGACCAGAGGCATGTTAAAACACAATAAATCAACTTACACTGGAAGGCTCGTCACCTTCTATTGTCAATTGCACTCGTTCTTGTTGTGTTTCTCAATCTGGCAACCCATGTGAGTGTCGGGTCTGAGGAGGAGGCGGCGGCGGGAGAAACAACTCCAATATTTTGAATTTGGACTGCAGGACACATTTCAACCATAGCTGTCAATATTATATGCTGCACAGAGTTGTTACCTGTAGCAGAAGAACCGCTTCTCAATATTATTAACTCGTCGTTG